TTATTTTCAGTTCTTGTAATTTATGTTAGTTTTATTTATTTAAACAATGTTGGATCCAACTGAAAATGTAAATGATTACGATTTAATATTAAATTTTTATTATGATTAAAATATTTTAAAATTTCAAAATAAATATTTACAACCTGAAAGGAAAAAATATTAAAAATATTTATTTAAAGATTACATATATTATAATTTGAAATGTTTTATGAAAATATTTTGAAGATTTTAGTTATATTACAAAATTTCAAACACTAAAAAATTATTTATATTTTTTGTCTAAATATTAATAATAAGAGATGATGAAACACTTTAGAGGGATAAAATAATCAATTTTCATTTTTAACTAAAGAGGGGCATTATAGTTACTTAACAATATTCATTATGTCCTAATTAAGAATTTGTTAAAAGTGTAGGTCTCAATTTAATTTTAAGTATTTCAGCAGGATTTAATTAGGATTTTCCCTAAAATTTACTGTACATTCAGGCTTTTACAGGTCCAAAGGAAAATTGATCTTATATACAAAATATTTAACTGACATATAAATTTAATCATTTATGTTTTCTTCGACTCTATTTCAAATAAATTATATACATACACATAATGTAGGTTGTCCCAAAAAAAAAATGTTGTAGAAAGCATTCATTCATTATGTCTAGTCCAAATACACAACAAAATTATATACCTCTCAAATTCAAATTAGATTATATGTTAAAATAACAAAACAAATGAAATTTTCAAAATGAAACCGTCATCATGATTTATTTAGATTACATGGTCGCGATGTACATAAATTGTGAAAAATGAAAATCATTACAAATAAAGTGGTTATTAGAAAATATTGGAAAAAGCACACAAACATCGAAATGGCTAAAAAAATCTATAACCATTTTTTTTATGGTCAAGTCTTCTACTACTTCTAAGTCTTCTCATTTTTTCGAGGAAAAACTAGAATATTAATACACTCATTTTCATATCATTTTCCATTTTTATTCAATTTCCACAGCCAAATCGTTTGAAACACTTCAAAAAGATGAAAGTTGTTTAAGCAACAAAGTAAAGGATTTTTTTCCCCATTCAATTAGAGGTTTTCTAGAAATACAACTTTTAGCTTTTGAAATAAGAAAAATATCTTTTAAATGATCATTTAGACTTTTTATGTTTAGTTCATATTATAACAACATCAATGACTTGTGGCGTTACAGAGAAACTGCATACAATCATATAAATCTTGAAACGATTATTTGTGGGATGTTTTTAATTTCAAACGAGAATGTTTGCAAATAATTCACACATAATACAATGATGTTCCTAGTCTTTTAGTTCTTTTCCAAGAAACTTCACGACTTTAATGTCAAATGTTACTAGAATCTAGACTAATTGAGATCAAGCCAAATTTGACATATTGACCGAGACATTGCCCCATCCAGAACGCTTGTAAAGTATTCGTCCCAAACTGCACTCAAGTTCAGTCTCCGCTCATTCATATTGAAACCCACCAAGGAGCTTCCATTCTTATCTTCCAAACTATACCCCATTCATGACGCTCATAAAGTCTTTAGTTCTTTTCCAAGAAGCTTCACAACTTTCAACTATAGAATTTATTGGGACCAATACTAATTTGAATCATGCGAGAAAAAGATGTAACATATTGAAGATATTGCCCCATCCATGACGCTTGTAAAGTCTCTAGCCCAAATTATACTCAATTTTAATCTTTTTGCTCATTAATGGAACCCACCATAAAGCTTCCATTCTTATCATCTCTTCCAATTTCCTTTGATAAAAGAGATCCTCAACAGCAAGTGACCTCTAGTTAAACTGATACAAACCGCTTTACCGGTTAAAACAGGTGGTCAATGATAATAAGTGATGATAAACCAAGTCATTTTACTCATCTGTGGCCTGCAACTACTTGGCAAGGAAGGGGAGTACTCAGTAATGTAATGTATTATGGTAGTAATTGAAACAATAGATTCTCTAAGTGCATCGCCAATTCGGCATAGTTCATTGGAGAAACTTTGGACAATATTTTATGTAGAATGACACATTTTAATTATTTTATGATGACTTTTCCAACACGCACATCACCAAATGCCCCTTGTATCCATTGGCGAAACTTGTCTGGGAGATTTTTTTTTTAACAGAAAAAAAAATCATTCACACTTTTGGAAAGAGGCACTAAATCAATTTACTCAATATTTGGCGATTCTGCACAAACGCAACTCAAAATTCTACTTTGTTATGTGATTTTCTCTTTTGGGGTTATGTGACTTTTTTTTTTAATAGCAGGAGAACAAAAAATGGGCCTTTTCAGGGCCCATTATGACTATATATGATTTAGGCATTTGACACAATGAATATAAGTAAATTGATGTAATTATTGTACTTTTTCTTCTTCTTTTTTTTTAGCTTATTTATTGCTAGTTATTTCTCCTTTACTTTCCTATTCACATGTCTTCCAAATACACATGAGTGAAAATAAACATAGGGAAAATTAATCTTTTAGTTTTTCAAATGTTTTAACTCACTTATAATTCAATTATTGAATTACAATTCGGTGTAACTCAATCTCTCAACTTTTGACTCTCCTAGTAAACGTTAGAAAATATTGGAAAAAGCACACAAACATTTAAATGACTAAAAATCTATAACCATTTTTTTTTAATGGTCTAAGTCTTCTAATACTTCTAAGTCTTCCCATCTTTTCGAGGAAAAATTAGAATATTAATATATTTATTTTCATATCATTTTCCATTCTTATTCAATTTCCACAGTCAAATCGTTTGAAACGCTTCAAAAAGATAAAACTCGCTTAAGCAACAAATTAAAAGATTTTTTTTTTCTAATTCAATTAGAGGTTTTCTAGAAATACAACTTTTAGCTTTTGAAATAAGAAAAATATCCTTTAAATTATCATTTAGACTTTTTATGTTGAGTTCGTATTATAACAACACCAATGACTTGTGGCGTTACAGATGAACTGCACACAATCATATAAATCTTGAAACAATTATTTGTGGGATGTTTTTAATTTCAAACGAGAATGTTGCAAGTAATTAGCTTTTGAATTAATGAATTTCTCAAGAGACCAGAGCTGCCATTGCTTTTCAACGATCCATTAAAAAAAACAATAAGAAGATAAGGGAATAAAAGAGAAGGAAAGTAAATTACACACTGGTGGAAAAAAATTAATTCATCATCTCAGAGGGATGGTATATGATGACTTCCACTTTTTGTTGTGCCCATATATCGTTGATTTTTCTTTTTCATCGTCTTCTAATTTTTTTAGTGGCAGCTTCTGTCTCTTGAGAAATGTAATCCGAAAACTAAACTAAAGTTAATGTTAAAAATTGTCAGGAAGGTCTTAGAAGTTGATTAACCTCACCATAGTGAGTGGGGGAAACACGCAATCACCAAACAATGTGATGTTTTATTTATTAACATTAATAATTAATTAAGAAAGTTATGGAAGTCATCAACTATACTATCCCAATAACATGAATTTTTCCCCTCAGCGTGTAATTTACTTCTTACCCCCCCCCCAAAAAAAAAAAACACGTCCTCTCTAATTATTTTAAGAATTAAAGGAAATTTGCCTTTGGACTATTTGGCGGGTAGCACTAATTATTAGCATGAACTATTAGCAAAGCAATATTGCCCATTGAAGAGTCAAGATCATTGCAGTATCGCCCCTTGTCTGACCACATTAATGTTGACTGTTAATCTTACATTAATTTTTAGATTAAAGAGAATTTTTACATTAATATAAAAACTAGTTTGGAGATTGAATTTGATTATAAGTATAAGATCTTAATATACTTTATATCTTATATTTATTATTTTTCTTCCAATTAATTTCTGTAACTTACAATTTAATGTTTTACAGAATGTTTGTTATAATTAACTAATTTATTTCACTTTTTTAATTAAATCAAATTAGTCAAGTAGCACTTATATTAAAGATTAGATATATTGACAAGATTTATTCTGAGAACATTAGCAACATTAGGAACAATTTTTTTATTAATTTTTATTCTATCCATTCAGTTATACAATTTAAAATCAAAATTTCCCATCTAAATATCATCTCCTCTTTATATATATAATTGTCTAAATATTGAAGTCGTCTTTTCAACTAATAATCGGACGTCATGGTGGATTGTTTATTGGGTGAAGAAAGAGGGACAATTTTATTCACAAAAGGCAAATCAGCATATGCATTAACACAAAATTGATCTAACGTCACTAAAAAGAGTGGAGTTTAGTAGAAGAAGTTAGTCTCTTATAACATGGTGAATTAAAGTTTGGATCCTCATTGAAAGAGATGTTCACATTTAATGCTCGATAATATCTCGAATAAAATTACATCCAATAAGAGAATACATATACGTAGCGAAAAGGAAAAAAAATCAACTTTAATTTGTATCACTAATAGTATTGGGCCCTGACCGTATCATAACACTCTACTCACTAATCCTTAATTAAAATAATGAAATATTTATAATTAATTTCAACACCTTAGAACAGTAGTTAATATGACTTTGTAGAAAATATGGGAGGGAGTACTCGAAATGTGCAGATTTCAAGTAGGCATTGGAAACATGCTCGTGTTGCTCTGCACCTGATTATCTGAGCTGACTTTTTATTTAATGTTAATTATATTTAACACTTCTCCGATTCTCAAAACAAGAATTACATTATAAAATGGATAGAAGGAGTAACTGAGAGGTTATTTGAATATCTAGCCTGAACAAGGCATGACTTTGTCATTTGAAGCTAACCGTACAAACCAAAATGGAACAGAGCATCTCAAGCTTCAAAACAGAATGTTATGAGATCCTCTCATCTTCCACAAATTAATAGTAACTCACTGTAGCAAGTTACAAATTAATATCCAACATGTTAACGTACATATAAATCTTATCTTACAGATTACAACACTCACATGCCTTTTCGTTTTGGTTGTTACACTTACACCTGAAACCTCAAATACAGACGCATAATATCTTTTTATTTGATTCTAAATCATAACTCATGATCGAACTTTAGAGTAACAATCATATATCACATTCAAGACTATTCATCAAAGGTTCCTTAACAACATGAGACACCCAGACACACATATAACTATTATTACAAAATATTCTCTTCTCCCAATTCACTAAATCTAAGATAACAAAAGGGCATTCAGTAGGCTACGCTATCGGAGTCCTTGACCATGCAAAACAGCAGCAAAGCTCCTTATTCCTTGAGGCAGAACTCAGTATTTGAATCAGAGGAACGATCAGAGTAGGCATAGCTGCTATTTCACTTGCATCCCATATTGAAAAACAAACAAGATAAAACATAATCAGCTAAGAACAGAATTTTTTTAGGAAATAGAAGAAATTAAAAGGAAAAAGGAAAATACTAACAATATTTGAAAAGTTAAGGCGTAGCTAATTTATTACCTCAAGGGAGATCTGTTTTTGATATTCGACCGAATCTTTTGAACCAGAGGGTGAAGGCAACATAAAGTTGATCTTTCAAGTGATCAAACCATCGGAAAAATCTGTGTCTCCATGCTCTGATGAGGAAGAGAGAACCACAAATTCCCCAGAACCCCGCCGCAAATCCAACCCCCATGCCAAGATACAATGACTTCAGAAAGCCGTCGTCTTCATCTCTTTCAGCTGGCTTTGAGTTGTCATGAGTTTCTTCTTTTTTGTTGCACTTCTTTGGAAGAGGATCTCCACAAAGTTCACGATTGCCAACAAAACTCCAGGAATCAAAACTTTGAATTTGGGTTCCCAGTGGAATTTGTCCGATGAGATTGTTGTATGAGAGGTTCAAACAAGCAAGAAAAGACAAATTAGATATGGTAGAAGGAATTTCTCCAGAAAGTCTGTTGTAGCTGAGATCCAGAGATTCTAAGTTTTCTAGAGCTCCAATTTCTTTAGGAATCTTTCCAGTCAAATGGTTTCGAGACAGGTTTAAGGACCACAGTAGAGTAATATTGAACAATTCTTTAGGAATTTCTCCAGATAAGCTATTAGTAGAAAGATCAATAACACTCCTTCCAAAATATACTGACATTTTGGTAGTCTAACTCCCTTCCTTAGTAAATATGCGCATCATTTCACGAAGATCGAAATTGCTGATGTTATTTGGATTTGTGATGTTGCATAAGCAAGAAGGTATAGATCCAAAAAGCTTATTATTAGCAAGCTCTAGTATCTGCAAAGAAGAGAGCATGCATATTCCTGGTGGAATATTACCCATAAATTGGTTGGTCCTTAATTTAAGAACTTCCAAAGATCGTGCCATATACGGATTTGGCAAACTTCCAGAAAAATTATTTTTCTCTAAAATGAGGTATCTTAAATTTGTCCAATCAAGCATGCCTGATGAAAATTCAGCAGAGAAACTATTATCACTCAAATCCAACCATTGAAGTCCCAATGAAGCAAATGAGGGAGGAACTTTACCTGTTAGCTTGTTACTCCCCAAACTAAGGAATTCCAATGATTTCCGATTGGTCCAACAATCGGGAAGTGCTCCACTCAAATGATTATTTGACAAGTCCAATTCAACCAAGTTGCTTTCTCCGTTACCCTCTAATTGGCACAACAATGAGAAAATAGATCCCGATAAGGAGTTATGTGATGCATAAAAATCAGAGACATTTGCTGATAGTGTGACACCGGATATGTCATCACTAATTAAGTTATGTGAGATATCAACATCTTCTATTCCTGCTACAAAGTTCCAAAACATATCCTTATCAATTGTTGAAATCCCTGATTTAGAAATATCTAGTCTCCATAAAGACTGTTGTGTATATAGCCATGGTGGAACAGTAGGACCTATGCTTGTGTTGCCCATATCCAATGTCTCAAGTTGAAATGATGGTACCCATTTAGGATTAAAGTCATATTTGAAACTATTTGAACTTAAGTCCATTGATTTTAAACTTGAGAGACCGGCAAAAAAATTTTCTGTAAGAACACCAGCCAAGAAATTGTGCCCAATGTCTAAATCAATTAAGTTATGGAGTTGTCCCAAGGTTACTGGAATATTGCCGTTCAATTGATTGTAGGACAAGTCTAAGTAGAACAAGGAAGAAATATTTCCAAGAGACGATGGAATTATGCCATGGAACAAATTCTGAGAGAGTTCCAAGTCTTGCAACTGATCATATTGGCCTAACCAATCTGGAATTGATCCTTCAAAATTATTATACCTTAAATCTAAATACTTGAGATTTTGAAGATTGAGCAAAGACTTCGGCAATTGTCCGTAGAAATTGCAACCATAAAGGTCAAGCTCTTGGATGTGATTGGTGATATTAAAGAATGAATCAGGTAATTTTGACTTCACCGTATAAGAGTTGCTAGAAAGATGAAGAACTTCAAGTGACGTAAAATTGGCATAATCGAGGGAAGGAAAATCTCTTAATCCACAAGCTCTCAAGTGTAACTCAGAGAGTGAAGGAAGCATGGCTATATGCTGGAGCCATTTGGTATCATTTCCAATATCACTGGAACTAAGGTTAAGATATTTTAAAGAAGAAAGTTGGGAAAGCCAATGAAGGTCATTTATGACTAAATCATCATTATATGAAAAGTCAAGATAAAGCAGAGCAACAGAGAAACTTGCTGAGTGATTGGAAGGAGTAACAAGTGATTGGTTGTGAGATTTGTGAGCATCAAAGGGAGGTTTGGAGATTTGGCATGGTGGCATACTCACAGTTTTGAATTCATTGGAGCTCAAGTCCAAGTGGTTGAGGAATTCAAGTTGAAGCACACATAGACTAATCTCACCTCCTAAGCCATTACTGGAAAGAGAAAGCTCTGTGACTCTTCCGGTGATGTTGTGGCAGTGAACTCCCTCCCATAAACAGCAGTCTTTTTCAACACTCCAAGATGAGAGTTGGTTGTTTGGATCGACCACTCCTTGTTTGAAGATGAAAAGCAGACTTTGATCATTTTCATCGCAACTGATTACCCTGTTTAATGTTGTTGCAAATAACAGAAACAAGAAAAGAAAAGAAATTTGTGAAGCGAAGCTCGCCATTGTGGTAAGTGAGTTCGAGTATGATGGCCTCAATGAAGTCTTTACATTTTATGTGTGTGTGTGTGTGTGAATGTTTATAGACACACACGCGTATATTGGAAAATCTAAAGTAAACAAAAACTTAAATGCCTTAAAAAATTGATAACCACATGATATTTCTTATTATCAAGTCTACTAATATTTTTAAGTCTTCCCGTCTTTTCAATACAAAATCGTGTCATGAATAAGAAAATACCACAGATATAATATATGACATATTTAGATCCTTTTAAAGTTAGCAGGCGTTAGGGAAAAACTGGAGAAAATTATGCGCAAAAACATTGAAGGCTAATAGCTCAATGATTTTATTTTATTTTTAAAATGTTTGAAAACAAAACAAATCCTACATGGGCTCCACATGGAAATTAAAGAATCATCATCACTATTTTATGACTTATAAATAAAATAACTTATGACAAATTTTGCATTTTATATTATTATTAATTATAAAAGGAGCATAAGGAGTATACAAACACGCACTCACGTAATGAACTCAAAGTGAATTAATTTTATTTATTTTTGTTTTAGTCCAGAAGTGAATAAATTAATTCAGATAATCAAAATTTGAATAAATATTTTGCTCTGAAGTTTGATTTTCTTGGATAAAAAATTCGACAAAATTTTAGTATGACCGGAAAATAATAAACCTTTTCTTATAAAATTTAATATAACCCAAAAAAATCATAATAATTCCGTTCGGACTCCAACTTTTCCTTTTTATTCTTTTTAGCTTCCTTTTTTTTTTTTTGCCGTAATTCTATTTAGTCCAGAAATGAACAAATTAATTAATTATATATAATCTTGGAATAAATATCCATTATTTTTGCATCATAAGTTCTTTTTCGGTCAAGCATCATAAGTTTGATCTATATGGAAATTTCTTTACGCGGACAAATTTCTCAAGTAATAATATATTCTTTTTTATAAAAATAAATACTACGTTCCATAGGTCCTTACCTTCGTTTTAGTTGTCAAATGTTTTCCACCGGCGTGTAATTTACTTTCTCATTGTCAAGTCTACTAATAATATTTCCAAGTCTTCCCGTCTATTCCATAGAAATCGTGTCATGAATCCAATTACTCCACATCATGTTACCTGCCTTATATTCTTTTTTTTTTTTCAATTTCCAAAACCAAGTTGAATTAGTGGATAGTTTTAACTACATATTTTCTTTTAACATTGTCAATAAGAAAATACCACAAATATAAAATCTGTTATATGCTTAGATCCTTTTAAATTTGGTAGGTGTTAGGGAAAAACTGGAGGCAATTACGTATAAAAATATTGAGGGCCAAGAGCTCAGTGATTTTTTATTGTAAAAGTGTTTTCGTAAACAAACCAAACTCTATATTATGACTTATAAATAAAATAACTTATTATCACTTGTTTTATATCATTGTTAATTATTGAAGGATTATACTCAGACACACTCACTCACATATTGAAGTCAAAGCAAATTAATTTTATTTATTTATTTTAGTCCGGAAATGAATAACTTAATTCAGATCATTGAAATTTGAATAAATATTTGTGCTCTTAAGTTTGATTTTTACGCATAAGAAATTGGACAAAATTTTAGCATGACCTGAAAAAAATAAAACCCTATATATATATATATATATATATCATTTTTTTATCAAATTTAATGTAAGACAAAAAAATCACAAAAATTCCATGTGGAATCCATAAAATTAATTACATATGGCTCTTTGAACTCCCTATTTTGTCCTATTTGTGAAAAACTTAGGTCAAATTGCTTATATCTATTATATAAAGTTCTCAAATTATACATGGACATGTGTCTATTTTTGTGTCCTGTAAATTTATAATTAAATATTATTAAATGCTAATATTTTAAAAATAAGACATATGGCTATATATGATTTGGGCACTTAACGTAATGAATATAAGTAATTTGATGCAAGTATTGTACTCTTTCTTCTTCTTCTTTGTTTTTTCTTTTTTAGTTTATTTATTGCTAGTTATTTCTCCTTTTCTTTCCTATTCACATGCCTTCCAAATACACGTGACTGGATATATATAAATAAAATTAAATACCTTACCTTTAAAATTTACTGTAGATTCAGGCTTTTACAGGTCCAAAGGAAAATTGATCTTATATACGAAATATTTAACTGACATATAAATTTAATCATTTATGTTTTCTTCAACTCTATTTCAAATAAATTATATACATACACATAAAGTAGGTTGTCCCAAAAAAAAACATGTTGTAGAAAGCATTCATTCATTATCTCTAGTCCAAATACACAACAAAATTATATACCTCTCAAATTCAAATTAGATTATATGTTAAAATAACAAAACAAATGAAATTTTCAAAATGAAACCATCATCATGATCTATTTAGATTACATGGTCGCGATGTACATAAATTGTGAAAAATGAAAATCATTACAAATAAAGTTATTAGAAAATATTGGAAAAAGCACACAAACATCGAAATGGCTAAAAAAATCTATAACCATTTTTTTTATGGTCAAGTCTTCTACTACTTCTAAGTCTTCTCATTTTTTCGAGGAAAAACTAGAATATTAATACACTCATTTTCATATCATTTTCCATTCTTATTCAATTTCCACAGCCAAATCGTTTGAAACACTTCAAAAAGATGAAAGTTGTTTAAGCAACAAAGTAAAGGATTTTTTCCCCATTCAATTAGAGGTTTTCTAGAAATACAACTTTTAGCTTTTGAAATAAGAAAAATATCTTTTAAATGATCATTTAGACTTTTTATGTTTAGTTCATATTATAACAACATCAATGACTTGTGGCGTTACAGAGAAACTGCATACAATCATATAAATCTTGAAACGATTATTTGTGGGATGTTTTTAATTTCAAACGAGAATGTTTGCAAATAATTCACACATAATACAATGATGTTCCTAGTCTTTTAGTTCTTTTCCAAGAAACTTACGACTTTCATGTCAAATGTT